GTCAGGTTCCTATGTGCAAGATGTGCCTTGATCATTTATACTTGATTTTCTGTTATTGGAATTAATTTCAGATTTATTTTATAAATTTGTCAGTATTCCAATAAGCCATCAATTCCTGCCAATGATTCCGATTGATCCAGTTGGGTATTATATTTGTCTCAATATATCGCTTTTTAGCTTTGTTCTAAGAATTCCTCAAACTGGTACTTCTTTTGCGTTCGAAATGTCTTCTTACTGTCAAATGATTATCCTCTGCCCAATTATACATCTTCTGTAAATATTCAATAAAAATAACACTTTAGCAAACCATACAAATTAAAAAAAAATGAGCTACATAATTAAGTAGCAAATATATCAAGATAATTGCATTTCATAGGAATATATACTCCAGAATACTACGCACACACTTGTCTAGACTGACTCATAATACAATAAGAGCAGTGATAAAACGAATAGTTTGAGAAAGCAAGTTAATCAATCCATCATGAACATCCTCACCTAATAATAATGAGAGGGCAGATTAATAAAGTTGCAAACATTTTTCTACCAGACTCTAAGTTTCTACCAGCTTACGTGTAGCAAAAAGGTAAACAAAAGACAGCAAATAATTAATTATACTATTCATAGAAGAAACAAACAGGAGATTGCATTAATCCATTACAAAGAAATAAAAAAATAAATAAATAAATAAATAAATAAATATTAGTTAATTAAAAATATAATACCTGAAATTCTCCAAACCAACTATCTCTGACATGATTTGGGACACTGTTCCATGTAGGCCATAGACCGCTAAATGATTTCTTGAATATTATAACCAAATTTCTCGAAGCATTCGAAGGATTAAAACTGTTCAATAAACTATAATTAATATTCTTTCACAATAATATATGTTTCAAATATTAAATAAATTTACCTGTCTCTATCCACTTTCAGCAATATTCGGTTGCTCGAGATTCTTTGTTGTGATGCAAGACTTGATTGTGAATCTCTAACTTCCCCTTGCTTTGATAGAGGTGTTTGTGGTTGTGGTTGTGATGAATTCTCACGGCTCGCTCGTCTAACACCTCCTCATCGTGGCATTTTTCTAAAAAAACAAACAAAGAAACAAATAAAAAGAAAAACATAAAGTGTTCAGGCATATGGATTTGTGAAACATGTCATAATCTAAGCAGCAGCCGTCTTGGTTATAAGAGACTGGAGAGGTATAAGGAAGTTGAGGATTTTGGAGCATCCGACGATGGCGGTTGAGGATGCAGCCATGCGGAGGAGGAAAAGTTAAAAGGGTCTTGAAAAGATGTTTGGAACACTGGTGGAAGAGAATTCAACGGGAAAGATGGTGAGGAAACTGTTAGAACCGGTTGCAGGTCATTTTTCCAACCAAATATGTAGCAGGGTGCAAAATGTCAAGCAAGTTGTAATTAGAGGGTGCAAATTGCTACTGTTTCAATTGAAGGGTCCAAAGTGCCAAATGCATGTAATTCGAGGATGCAAAATACCAATTACCCCCCATGTTTTTCACCAAATATGAAGGCATGAAACAAGAAAGTAAATTTACCCTATCAATCCAACTAAATAAGAAACAGAGGCCATTAAAGTTTAATTTTTGAGATTGTAAGTGAACAAATATAAAGATGGGAAAAGTGTCATTGGCAAACAATTTTTTTTTATGTCTGGGCAATATCAAATTCGCACAATTAATAGGTAAAAGAATTAATTGAAGCATCTATTTCACATACAAAAAATTTCAGTTCATAAAAAAATCATAATTTCAGTTCATCAAAAAATCATAGAAAGTAGTTTCTAATCAATATTTTTTCAATACAAACAAAAATTAAAAGGGGGGGAGTCAGACTTACCCAAGAGAGGCGTCGTTCGTGGCGGTGGCTTCTCGTGGCGCCGCGGCGGTGGCTGGTCGTGGTACCGTGCGCGGTGGCGGCTAGTTGCGGGGCCGGCAGTGGGGATTTGCTCGTCGCGTAGGTGGTGGTGGCTTTCGTGGTGCTGCGGTGGTGGTCAGTCGTGGCGCCGCGGTGGTGGCCATTGCGAGGCGTGCAGTTGAACCGTCCCTGCCCTCTCAATTTCTCAAAGTAGTTCTCACAAATTGTATAGAAAGGGTTTTATGTTTCTTTTAATTAGGATTACTTTTTCCTTTTACCACAATAATTAATTAATGGCAGAAAAGTAAATAAAAGTGATTCATACATACACGCATGTATCACTTTTAATATACTAAAACTTTAAAATACATTTATGTTAATATGAAGTTATTTTTTTAGGAATAATAATAATAATAATAATAATAATAATAATAATAATAATAATAATAATAATAATAATAATAATAATAATAATAATAATAATAATAATAATAATAATAATAATAATAATAATAATAATAATAATAATAATAATAATAATATAATAATGTACTTTTGAAATGGATTTGTTAGTCATTGCTAATATCCGTCACTACAGTTTCGCAAATTATTTATCTTAGATACGGATATAGTTTTCGTTGCTAAAATCCGTAGCACTTACTGATTGTTCTAAACCCAAGGGACGATTATAGTTGCCGTCACTAAATTTGTCGCTCAAATTAGAAACGAATTTGTTATCCCTTGCTCAAATCCGTTGCCACACAATTTTCCTAGCAACAAATATGTAGTCGTCGCAACATATGTTGCTACAAATTTATTTTAGAAATAGACTTAATATTCGTCGCTAGGGTTCGTTGCTACTTACCTACACTTGCAACGACTCTATTTGTTATCGCTATATTTGTTGCTGGAACATTATTTTTGAAACAAACTTATCAGTTGTCGCAAACATTCGTCGCTAAAAGCAGAGTAACACCACCAAAGGGACGATTTCATCTTCCGTCACTAATGCTATTGCTAAATCTTTACCGTAGCAACGAATCAGTTATACGTTGCCAATGTCCGTCGCTAATCGGCGATTTTCTAGTAGTGATTGTTTGTTACTTTAGAATTTCAAAAAGGCACTAATTGCATTTTTTTGTCAATTTTACCCCTTATCACTCTTAATTAGTTAGTTGAAAAAAAATAAATGAGAAAAGTATTTTAATATTTACTACTCCCGCCGTTCCTAAATAAGTGTCTCTTTTCACTTTTTGCGAAGATTATGAAATTCAATAAGTGTAGCTTGATTTTAGGAAAATCACTTACAAATGACTAAAACAACCTTTATCATTTAATGATTTATAAGTGAGAATTAATGTTTAGAGATGCATTAATAAGGTTAAAAAAGAAAAAAAATGCATTTAATGCAGTATTGGAAATCTAAAGTGACAAATAATATAGATCAAAAATATTTTTAAAAATAGACAGTTATTGTGGAACGGATGGAGTATATTATTTGCTATAATCTATACATATTTATTAAGTTTCTTAATATGTGACGGAATGAGTAATATAAATGGTTTGGACCTATAAGGCCAAAAAATAGATCATGTGAGTGTTCCAAATACATTTTTTATAACATTTTTAGGCAATGTTTCGTAGCATTTTGATTTTGATCCCATAAGTTTCTCAAAGTGTATCTATATTTTTTAATCAAAAAATCCTAAAACAATTTCTTTATTTTTCAAATTGTTCTTCTAAAAGGTTGGAGGACTAAATTTTAAATTTCAATGTTGTCAATGGCATTATCATTGAAAAAATTATAAACTTAAATGATTACTATCAATCGGTTCATTCAACTAATTTTCCAAATATATATATATATATATATATATATATATATATATATATATATATATATATATATATATATATATATATATATATATATATATATATATATATATATATATATATATATATATATATATATATATATATATATATATATATCGAAGCAACATAACATCTAATTTTGCAACTTCTGCGTCAATTTTATATGTTCATCTCAAATACATATTTCTTTTCTTATGCTAACTTTTAGAGGAGGTTAAAAAAATTCCAAAAGAGGAAGCAATTTGCAAATTCTGCTTCCACATATACACAGACGATATGCTGGAGACCAAATGCAAATGTAAATTTTCCATGATTCATCAACCGTGTGCAGTTGAATGGTTTCAGAAAAAAGGAAACAACAAATGTGATGTTTGTGAAGAAAACATCCAAAATATATCGATAGTTGTATCGTGGGATCACATGGCTTCGGCTCGAACTACTAATAACAAAGAGCAGTACAACGGATATTCTACTTCCGGAAGGTAAAAATAATTTACACATGTTATGTTCTTGATGTTAAAGTAGCAATACTAACTATTAGTTTAAGGCTTGACCGAGTCTTTTGAAATTTGATACAATAGTTAAGTTAGTTGATTTAGTTGTTATTTTAGTTTCCTAGTTTTAAATTATTGGTTTTATTTAGTAGAGCCTTTAGTCATTTACAATAGGTGGACTTATCTATAACATCCTATCACTCATGAAAAAATTATGTGAGCTTATAATCATGCATCTTACTATTGTTGGGTACCAATACGTACCTTTCATGAACGTTTGACGTGGACTTGTAGTAGGCCTCTTGATGCCTCGGTGCCTCGTGAGCATGTGGGTTTGCTAATAGACATAGTTGAAAAACTCACGGCATTACAAGTGGTATGAGAGCCGATTTGGGGGACAGCGTCAGCCAGCTTGAACATGCTAATCTTTGCTACTGGCCCTGCAATTGGGGAACTTACATTAGTTTTTGTTCTACGGCCTTAAGAGTTGGCTAACCATATATTGGGCGCCAATATATTTCATGGTGACTTATGGGGTGGACTTGTGGTAGGAACATGCTTAGTGGGCCAGTGGGTTGGGTAATAGATCGGCTTGAAAAAATCCATAGTGTTACAATTAGTACTAGTACCGACCCGGGACAAAGTTTAGCCATGTCGAATAGGACCATCTTTGTTATAGGCCTTACAAATTGGGATTGTACATTGATATATGTTATGGGGCATTATATTAAAGAGTTCGATAACCGTGTACCCGGGAAGTGTTGGACTATTAGGCCTGGGCCTTAACAAGGTCGTCAAGGATTGAAGTTTATAACGCCCCAATGTTTTGAAGCCTAAATATAGAGACTTTATTGATGACATGTCGGTATGCACATTGCACTTACGACCTATTTGGTCATGGGTTCGAATTACCTGTTGGAAATTTGAGGAACTAGTAAATATCCTCCTTGAAAAAAGGAAGAATTTAATAAAGTAGTTAAGTTGGTGAGTTTGGCTGTTATTTTCTAATGTCTTTGTAACCTCTTTGCTTTATTTTACCATAGTCTTTAGTCATTCACAATAGGTGGACTACTCCTATTTCATAAGCTTATATAATGCATTTATTTATTTTTTCATAAATTAATCATTGAATAGCATATCTGATATAGATTCTAAAAAAAATGCATATTTAATATATAGTGTGAGCTTTTATTTTTCTAGTACACATTTTGTTATTAACTATATATTGTTCAACACTTCAAATCATTGATTGAAATTTATCGTATCAAATCATTGATTGAAATTTATCGTAAATTCAATATAGCTAATGTGAATGACATATATGCTTCAAGTGCAACTAGCTCATCATCCGCGTAACACGTTGTCATTCCACAGGTTTTGGAGGAAGAACTGTTGTTTTAACATATAATAAGGAGAGAAATCGCGGGACACGGGTTTTCAGGTTCGCATGTTTGCGTCCGATTAGCTTATTCTTTGTTAATGTTTTCTCCCGTTTTGTATCTGTCTATCGAAAGTAAATCAATCTTACTTGTGGTAGTATTTGTACTGAAAAATAACAAATTTGTTCGCTACTGGAATGTAAGAAACTAATGTCTTCTTCGGTAGGGAAAATATATATATTGAATCTTGTTTGATATTTGTTTTACCTAAAAACATTTCAAGGTATCTCTAAATCCCAAGCAAAGCCTAAATATTTTATCAAATTAAACGTAATAGAAACTGATAGTAGATATGAAGTACTAACTTTAACAAATGACGAATGATACATGAAATATATTAGAGTGAGTAACACACAGACAGACTACACAATTATTATTTTTATTTTTTTCTAATCAAAGAACTGACGGTCAACCGTATAGATATAGTGAGTAAACATATAGGACAGACGAAAACTACATTAGGCTATCCACCTAACGATCGTTGGTAAGAGAATTCAAATTTGGGTCAATTGACACAAATTCACTTACTTCAACCGATAAACCATCTCTTGTTTGTGGGCCAAAACCACACAATTATTCAATTCATATACATGCAAATAGATAGTACTTACGCACACATACACAAAAATATAATCTTGCATGTACATAAATTACGTGCACGTATATTCAACACACACATCTAAAGTGATTTTGAATTTTTCGCCATTATGGTAGAGGTTCCTGATACCATTAGACTAAAGCCTACTTAGTTTAAATGGTAAATATGTAATTTATTTCTAATAAAAAAACAATAGAAAGATATATTCAGAACAAAATTATTTGAACCATTTGAGTGATAATTTATATTTTATTTAGCTCTAAAATAAAAACCACTAAGAAAAAAACTGAACACATGTAAATATAATGACTAAATATCTCCATCAAAACTTGTTGGCTCAGGAGATGGGACTCTAGTGATTTCTCTTTTGGTGCAAGAATTACTAAATCTAGAGTCAAACAAAAATCATTGTAAATTATAAATAAGATGATATATTTTAGGGTAAATAGTACTAAAACAACTGGGTGTCAGCTAATCGGAGCCTAAATACCCGCCGCCGAAAAAAAAGAGTTAACAAAAATGGTCGCATGTCAGCTGATGCAAAGTCAACTAATGCACAGTTAGCTAATATGAGCTCGAACGTCCTGTTGCAGAAAAAAAAAAAAAAAAAAAAAAAATTGGATGTCAGCTAATGTTGAAGTCAACTACTAATACGTAGTCATCTAATGCAAGTTAATAACCAAAGCTCCGACGACATGCTGCCGAAAACAAAAAAAAAAGAGATAAAAGAAAAAAAATGATATGTCAACTAATGTAGAGTCGGCACCTGAGCTCCAACGACCCGGCGCTGAAAAATAAAAGAAAAAAAAAAAGAAAGAAGAAGAAGAAGAGATGTCAACTAATGTTGAGTAAGCTAATTGAAGTTACGACGACCCACCACCAGAAAAAAATTAAAAGGAAAAAAAAAATAGAATGTTAAATGTCAACTAATGTCTAAGTTAACTAATATTGAGTCAGCTATTCGGTACTCCGACCACCTAGGCCAGCGTCGTGAAAAACAAAAACAAAAAAAAAAAATTTAAACAAATAAATAAAAATAATAATTATCAAAATAAAATAAGATAAAACAAACCCGAGTTTTATTGAAAATCATAAAAATAAAATAAAAAAAATAAAAAATTAGACATATCCCACATTATATAATTTAGTGAGGGGCTATTTCAAATAACAACCTTGTTTAATTATCTTTTTATAATAATAAAATAGGGCAATGTTAGTATTCTGTATTTAAACGGGTGGATTTACGTACAATTGGGTTTGTCAACCTAAGGAAGACAATCAGGCAAACAATTACGCGGTTGTTAAATGAGTACGTTCCCATTGACATTGACCCATCCTTTTTGGCAGCAATAAAAGTCAGCTCACTCAATTTTGTCTTTCTTACATCATCGTCAAGTTGAAGGAAATTTCGATGAAACAACTTAAGTAGTACACTGTACACCTATGCATTCATTATATTAATCCTTATATAATATAGCTTTTCAGCAATATATATATATATATATATATATATATATATATATATCATTTGAGAACGGTCTATACATTTAAATTTAAATTTATATTCGATGGATGCACAGAAAAACGATCCGATTATTTCTTCAGCTGTCGATGAAAGAAGTTTCGACCGGTACTGGTCAGTTGCAGTAAGCCTTTATTATATTCTTGCGAGTTTTACTTCTGTAATTTAGCACCTTATCTTCTAGCAGTAATTAGTTAACTCTAGTGTGGTTTTCGTGCTTATGCATTTACACCTTTCCCTAAACTCGGTGCCCATTGCGGCCGCGGCTTTTTTCGCTAGAAATATAATAAAAAGTTACCGAATTTATAAAAGAAATATAGTTTTTTCTTTCTAATACGGTTAAACCTCTATATATTAATACTATTGAGATCGACGAATTTCTATTAATTTAGCAGAGTGCTAAATTATTGATAAATTTGTAATTATATTACTTTTAATTAGTTCATGAGAACTGATGAAGTGGAACTATTACAAAGCATATTTTTCGAATGAATGCTCTTAAAACAGCAATGGTACTATTGAATAATATTTTTGTTTAAATATGACAATACTAAATGGAAAATTAGTACTATGTTTAAGAAACGTGATAGGTATTGATATTGAAAGAGATGTAAATTTCAACAAGAAAATAAAAGACACAATTGAAAAATATTTTGTCAAGTTTTTATAGATATTGATCATAAATATATTTTAATTTATGAAGAGTAACTACTATGCATACTATTAATTTATGTATTAGATGGGGTCATCTTATAAATTGAGTGAATCACTAATTTCGCACATTGTCCACGAGTCAGCACAGAAAAAAGTTATTACTTAGATAAAAGTTATTAATTAATTATCGAATATTAATTTATCAAGGTTCGTTCTACAACTTTCTTGTTCGTTTTCCATATTGTTTTTTTTCCCTTCTGAAGGATGCATTCTCGACAAGCCCTGTTTATGGATCGTCCGCGACTTGGAAATTGGAGCTGGAAGTGAGTCGGCCTCTTATACAAATATTACATTTATATATGGTTCTCCGAATTTTTCATTCTCAATACTACAAATTAAAAGATTAAAGTTAAAATAATATGTATCATTAGAAAAAAATAAAAATAAAGTAGTAGTAGTAGTACTAATAATAATAATAATAATAATAATAATAATAATAATAATAATAATAATAATAATAATAATAATAATAATAATAATAATAATAATAATAATAATAATAATAATAATAATAATAATAATAATAATAATAATAATAATAATAATAATAATAATAATAATAATAATAATAATAATAATAATAAATAAATTTTATATCTAGAATTATTAATTTATTTATCACAAACTTTTGCAGGAGAATGAGTTTGTCAACGTCAAAGTGAGAACACCTCAAGGCAATTTCGGGGGTACGTAATAATTTTTGTCATCATATATATATTAATGTTTTCCAAAAGTTCATTATCCTCAATTTAAATTGAAAGTAGCCAGTGAAGTAAGGGACATTCTAAAAATTGCAACTTAACTAATTCTTTAAATGTCTTATTACTTATATTTTTCGTACGCAATGTAATTCGATTGAAGATAATATACTTTTATAATCCTCTTTGAAGATACTGAAACTAAGATTATCTATTTATATACATATTTGTAGGAATATTGATAGTATATTGATAGTACAACTAATAATTTTAATATTGTGAAATTTATTTTTAATACAATTTATTTATCATATATTTAAATTTTCTTCGTTTTTGCATCGCACGGGGATAATTGCTAGTTAAATTGATAATAAGAATTTTATTGAGTTTATTTTTTCAATGTGTTTAAATCACCAGTTGTCTACATGTTATATCCTAATTTGCTGTTTTCGTACTTTTGCACTAAGAGGTACATATATTTTTTATGCCAACTTTTAGAAGAGGTTAAGAAAATTCCGAAAGACGAAGCCATTTGCAGATTCTGCTTCAACGTATACCGACACAACATGCTCCAGAAAAAATGCAAATGTAAATTTTCCATGATTCATCGAACATGTGAAGTCGAATGGACGAAGAAGCACGGGAACAACAAATGTGAAGTTTGTGAACAAGATATCGAAAACATACCTATAACGGTATCATGGGATCCTTTGTCTTCCACAACCAGGACTTGCAAGAAAGAGCTAATTAAGAGCAAGAAAAGGTGAGATTAGTTAACTAATTGAAACCCCATTAAAATTTAATTTGGACATTGTTAAATATTATGTTTGATGATTGAAAATTGAAATAGACAAGTACTTTCGATCAATTCTATAAATTATCGATCGATCCATATGAATTATGTCTAACAAAGTTTCATTCTACAGGTTTTGGATCAACTATTTTTGTTTTAGATCATAATGCTTAGAAATGACAAATGATAGTTCGGGTACTCAAACTCCAGTTATTCCCGTATCGCTACTTTTGGTCTCGACTGATAAAGTTTGTCGGAATGTTTAGCATATTCTTTTTTGTATAGACCTGATCAATCTAGTGAATTTTCCTTCGGCTTCTTTTCGATCCCATTGGATATTTTCAACATTGGGGTGTTATATATGCAGTACAAATGTTTACTTCGGCAGTACAAATTTCGATATAACTCTCTCTAATAAAATTGAAACATTACTTATTTCTTTATTTTTATGATAAAATTGTAAACGAAGCAACAATTGTCGACATGGACGATCATAAATATATATTTAATAAAAGTCATTCCATGAAACAATATAATTCAAAAAAAATAAACAGTAGTTCATAGGCAGGCGTGCAATATCTCGTGCTCTAATTTGATTTACGTAAATTACGGATACCTCTAGGTAAGACTAAATAACCTACAAACATTTGTGGTATTAGCAATTTCAAATATCCCTTAAAACCAACAGCCTATGAACCCAAATGGAATGAATAAATTGTCTAAATTAACATTTTATTAAACAAACAAATTATGGGTAAATTACGGATACCCACCTCAGGTAAGACAAAATATTATATTTACCCCCTGTGGGTATATTACGTTTACCCCTGGGTAGATTTGGAAATTTATATCGAATATTCCATAGAATCATGAAGATTTTGTTAGTCATACATTCGTAAGGGTGCAACTGTTAGACGAAGCAATAACTAAGAAGAGTATTTGTAATTACCGATATCACAAGAACATGTAAGTTATTTGATCATACTTTAGGGGCCCCAAATTTACCCATTTAATTGTGTATATGTGAGTTTAAAAACAATTATGATAATTCAACAAAACTTCCTCACGCGGGTTCATGGGGAAGAACTCATTCATGGTAACACTAAAATTGAGAAATTAATTTGTAAATATTATAATAATATTTTAGGAACATAAGTATTTGAGTCAAATTATATGTTTAATAAATATAATGGCATTATGTACTTTTTTGTCATTATAGAGATAAACAAACATTTTATTTCCAAACACATGAACAACTTATAAAAACTAAAAGTAACTTATAAGCTACATATCCAAACATCTTAAAAAATAATTTTTAAAATAAGATCTAACAGCTTATCAACTCCAAAAACATCTTATCAGATGTAGGAGCTTATAAGATGTTTTAAAAAAGCTTAACCAAACGAGCTCTAAATATGCATATATATGTGCATACATGTCATAAAATAAAACTGCAATAAATTATATCCATACTCTTGATTTTAGCTGAATCACGTGAATTCTTGTGTTCTTAATTTATTTTGCGCCATTTAAATTTCATTGCCCACTTAAATACATATACATATATAGTTGGGGATAATTACCATTGTTGTCTCTATACTTTACCACTTATTCGGTTTTTGTCCCTAAATAAGATAAAGTTACAAGTTACGTCCCTAAACATAACACTTTTATGTTGTTTTTGTCCCTCCGTTCTTTTGTCCAGTTAGTATCAGTGGCGGAGCCAGGAATTCGAGACAGGGTGGACTAAATATTTACGGAGGTTCAGGGGCAGAGCCCCCGATATTTTTTTTCGAGATTTTTTTTGATTCATTCGTGTAAAGTAGCACCAAATTTATAAACTTTAACTAGGTGTTTGCAAAAGCTTTTAAAAATAGATTATGAGATTTTTTTCTGCATATAATCTGTTTTTAGGTGTTTGCAAAATCAATTTTTGCTTTTGCTTCTCTAAAAATAAGGTGTTTTAAGCTATAATTTTAATAGCACCCCAGTACCTGCTTAATCTATTTTAGTTGATTTTCCACCGAATTTGCAAACACCCCCAACTTTTAGAAATAATCACTTAATCACAACTTAACTCACAATCTCTAACTTATGCTTTTAAATAAGCTTGTGCAAATACCACCTAAGAACACATAATTTTTTGGTAGATGGGCTAAATTAAATTACTGGGTGGACTAAATTAATTAAATTATTTGAGTTAGCTAATTACATAATGCTATAATATTTAGAAGAATTTTTTTTGAATCCACAGTGGGCTGGAGCCCACCCTTGCCAAAGAGTGGCTCCGCCACTGGTTAGTATAGACGGAAAATAGCATGTGCACCGTACATGGCACACAAAAGACACCCCCATTCATGTAAAAGCAAGATTTTAAGAGCAATTTCAAAAATACCCCAATTTCTCTTCAAAGCCCTAATCTCTATTTTGGTTAGGGTTTTGAAGAGAAATTTATTTATTTATGAAATTGCTCTTAAAATCGTACACTTACATGAATGGGGGTGTCTTTTGTGTGTCATGTGCGGTGCACATGCTATTTTTCATCCATACTAGTTGGACAAATGGACGGAGGGACAAAAACGACATAAAAGTGACATGTTTAGGGACATAAATTGTAACTTCATCTTGCTTATGGATGAAAATCGAATAAATGGCAAAGTACATTGACGAAAAATGCAATTATGCCTATATAGTTGCTATACTAACATTTTGCATAAACATTCACTTAATCTACCGGGAATAAACCGGAAAAGTGCAATATAAAATTCCAACTTGTATTAAAAAAAGAAGGGGTTTTTATACATAAGTCCCTGACAAACCATTTTTATTATTCTAGATTCAGGGTTTATATCTCTTTCGCCAATAAGTTCATCCCTTTAATATGTATTATAAATAGAGACAAAATTAATATATATGACAAAATTATCCCCAACTCTTTATGTTAGCCTGTGTTTGGCAGCAATTGTCCACGTGGTGGCGGCCCGGGTATGGATGGCACACAATCGAATGCCGTGGGCCGTGTGTTAAATGCATTATAAAGCTAGGGTTTGCGCCTTTCCTAACACCAATTGGTTTTAGGACAACTGGTAGCTCCTGAGATCCTACACTTTAAACTCAATTCCTAATTGTAACTCCAATTTAACTTCAATTTCATCAATTTTGACCACAAAAATCCAATTTTTACTTCTTCTTTTTTCACTTTTTTCTTTTTGATTTTTTTTACCGCCGGTCTCCGGCGTTGACTTTTTTTTTTTTTTTTTTTACGCCCGAAGCTGACCTTATTTTTGAAACGGAGGGGCTATTTTGATACGTTTTGTAGTTCAAGGGGGTGTTTGTGACAACACACATAGTTCAATGGTGCAATCTGTACTTTCCCCTTAATATTATTGTCAACCACAACAATATTAATTCTTTTAGTTTTCTATTATTTTTGTCTTTGTTGAACGGTCAACATATTAATAGAGAAAAATCTAAAGACTTTATTAAAATTCGAAATTCTTCTCAAAATAAAGTCCTAATCCAACTATTTATACTAAAAAACTAAAAACACTAATTAAACTAAGAAAATACTAAAAATTACCAAAAACGGCAAAAACGAGTTAGATGCTGATTCTAGTAGATCTTGTAATTTTGGGAACAACCCAATTTACGGAATCCTAATACGATTTGTCTATGATTTGATATTAATTTTCTAAAATTTACCTAAAATAGCAAAAACGAACTTTTAGTTGTCTAAACGACGCTGGATTGCTGAAATTTGACGTTATTCATGAGCTTTACTCATGAGTTTTGTTTCTTGCGCCGTTTCACTTGAGATGGAGTTCGTATCGTACTCAAATACAATTCGAGTTCGTAGAAACCCTTATTTTTCCATAATTTCTTTCGATATTTCCACCAATGCCCATTAATAACTCTTAATTAAATAGTTATTTTGCAACTCAAATCCAATTTGACGTTCCTTATCAGTCAAAATTAAATAAAGGTGAAATTTGGGGTCAAATTGAGATTAAATTAAAGGATGAAATTGAAACGTATTAAAATGTGAGAGGGTATTTTAGTCTTTTACACACATGTGAACATTTTTTTTTTTAGGTTTTTTTTTTCGTGATCCATTTATGATCCATTTATGACCCATAATAGACTTTATTTGTAAAAGACTCAAAAAAGAAAAGATAAAGGAACCACGATAGTTGACTCTAACCTAATCATGGTAGAGCATGTTGAATTAAATACACAAATGCATACATAATACATTCAAGTTTAGCTTAATTATACAAACCAATGGAGGGCAAGAAAGAGGATAACCTTGATCCGCCATCTGAGAATTCATCAAAGGATTCATCGCTGATATATTTGCAAGAAGTTTGAGGTTAAATTCACTTCTTTCTTTTATTAACAACCATGCAGTGTTAAGATTTTCCTTTTTTTTTTTTTTCCGTTTCTTCCGTTTAACAACTAAGTAAAACGTGTTTATGCTTTACCAACTAAGTAAAACTGTGAATGAAATTAATGCTCATGGGAAATCGCCATCGTATGCAGTGCTCAGGCCACCGCCTCCATGGCCTGGGTATGAAGCCAACTCGCCACCCTTCTACGAACCCTGTTTTTCTGTAAGTAACTTTTCATATATATATATATATATATATATATATATATATATATATATATATATATATATATATATATATATATATATATGTATATATTTACGTCCAGAGAACAGTATTTATTTTGACTGGAGGAAAAGTCGTTTGTTATTTTGGATAATTAGATAGAATCCCTTTACATTTTTCTCACTCCAGCCATCAAGAGGGAGTTATATATGCCAACTGATGCCCAGGTGATGGCAGTGGAAATGAGCGAGTTTGACCGTTGAGCCATTTTGAGTATTTTTATATTTTTATTAATATTATTAGAAATTTATTATTATAAATTATAAAAAAAAAAGAAAATTTGAAATCTAAAAGATGACATGTAATTTTTTTTTTTATTATTTATAAGAATTATTTATTTTATATTAATATATTTATATAAAAATTAAAAAAAAAAAAAAAAAAAAAAGGGCTTGCGAGCTCACGAACAGCTTAAAATGTGCTCAAACTCGACTCGTCAGAAAGTTTGAGCTCAAAAAATTCAAGTTTGAGTTCGAGCTTTTGTCAAGCCGACTTAGCGAGCTAACGAGCCTGCTTGGCTCGGCTCATTACCCCCAAGTATATAGGAGTTTCAAAGCACAACTAAACAATTCAGTTATGTCTCGTTTGGTTGGGGAAATTAGTCATTATTAACTATATAATTGAACTTTGTTTAATGTTTGGAAATAACTTGTTATGTCGATATTATAGTATTATTGGCTTATCTTACCATATCTTTTCTTTTAGGAGGTTTTTCCGTTATACGTTCCGGGGTCTGATTAAAAAATTGGGTTTCATTAGATTATTTAATCGTATCTTGGCTAATTAATCTTTTAAAGAAACCAAACGAGGCCTTAATATTTAATTTCGAATTGATTGGATGAGTGATTTTTCATTTTCTATTTTTTTTTTCTTGATAGTCTTTTTATCACAATTTTTAAAATATTATAAGTTTTTAAAAAAATATTTGTTTTATATTGAAGTAGATTTCAAGAGGTTTCTAATCGTTATACATAAAAGAAAGAAGCGATATGTCAACCTAAGAAACTCTAATGACATAATTAGTAAAAAAAAATTAATATATATATTGTTTTATCTCCTATTTTGCAGTTATATTATTATTATTATTATTATTATTATTATTATTATTATTATTATTATTATTATTATTATTATTATTATTGTTTCTCCTAATTTGTATAAATATTGATGGTGTTATTGGTATTACTAATAACTTTTATTATAATTGTTATTGTCATGTATCTTCATTTCATTTTTTAAATAGTATTATCTGATGCATCTTACAGGAAAGAATACTAGTACATACTATATGGATATAACGTCATATGTTATTATTTTTTGTTGCTTGGAATATTATATTTATAGTTACTGCAGGATAAGGACCATAAACCCAAACAGGGCATGATCATTTTAACAATTCTTAGGGCTTCCTTTTAACTCTTTTCTAATTTCCTCTTTCAATGCTATATATTAATTTACTTGTTATTTAAAAAAAATGATTAAAGTAATGATATTTCCCCATGAAATTAGGTACATAAATATGATCTACATAACACAGAGTGTTGGATACAATAAACCTAAGGTGTTGGATACAATAAATATGATTTACTTGTTACATAGGCACGAGCGTGTGTATGTCTTAATTAATTTAAAAGTTTGTTTTATACTACATCCTGTGAATTACTTCAAATTATATTTAGTCATATGCACAAACAGGAATAGATTCATGCATATTTTACAATATTTTTATTTTATTTTTAATATATATATATAAGTGTGTGATGTGTAAATCAAAAGTAAAAATTAAACTAACTGATGCATTTCAACCCATATAACATCTACAAGACCATTTATAATTAAAGGGTAAAAGAAATTAAGAAACTGAAATAATTAATTGCTCATAAATGATAAAACAGTAAAAAAAATTATTTAATAGGATCAATAATTGTAGATTTCATTTATTTATTCTTTTTTCTCTTTTTGTAAAGTCTCGTCCTACAATGGCAAGCCCTGTATATAATTTGTCCAGGAAAAGTCCATGGTCAACGAAATTGGATCTCAAGGTGAGTGACCTCTTTAGAAGGATAGAATTATATTTAACATAATTAATTAAATATAAAAAAGTAAACTCTAATTTAATCATTTTTATTACTAATTAATTTCTCAACAAACTTTTGCAGGAGAATGACCTTGTTGTCACGGTCAAAGTCATAACACCTCAGGGCAATTTTGATGGTATATTTTTTTTTAAAGTAACCCAGTGTTGCCTTATACACAATATATAATACTGAAATGCTATTCATAGTGCGGTTTTTACCGGCTTGCAGTGCGATTTATTTCATTTGTAACTTTCCTAAAAAAAAAACCAAATTCGCCCGCTATTTCGTGTATAAATACACGAAATCCACTCAACCATTTCGTATCTTTTCACACGAAATATAAGTGTTTATTGTTATAGAACACGAAGGACGAAACTGTTAGATTGAAAAAAATCGTGTATTTCGTGTAAACGTACACGAAATGTGACATCATATTTCGTGGAATTTTCTACGAAATGGAAGACCATATTTCGTAGATTTTTCCACGAAATATGAAGTGACATTTCGTGGAATTCAGTACGAAATCACTAATTGATTTATTTTTTAATTAACCAATTTATTTCAGACACTCAAATTGACCTAAAAATTCAAATACAAATACAAATTGAACTAGAATTCAAATACAACTACAAATTGATCTAAATTTCAAATACAAATACAAATTCAACTAGATTTCATATACAACTACAAATTGAACTACCGACCAGACTTTAATTGTTCGTACAAGAGTAGTCGGGGTTTGTTCGTTTTGAGTAAGTGCCTCAAGTTTTTAGCTCTATGGTGTACCCATGCCGGATGGATTGGTGGTAGTGGACTATTCGCGACCAAATTAACAAACATGAAATGATTGTTGTGCAATGTCACAACAATCATACATGATAAGTGACCACTGCCAAACATAGGAAGGTAAGTCATACTCCCTACTTGAGTCAAAAGTACCACTAATGCACTGTATCAGGTAGCAATGGCCAATCCCATTTCACTCATGTCCATCCAATAAGCTTGTAGACAAGGTTCTGAGGTCCAGTCACACTTGCGTATGACCTCAACGTATCCGGTACTGCCAAACATCGCCGTGTAGACACTAGCATGCTCGTATAACTCAATAAGCAACTCCCCTCTCACTTGCGGCCATCTTTCTTGATCCCCGTACACGGCTTGAGCAACGCACCGGTACCCACAGTTGCCATCCGCCATCACGTTAACATAATCTTGAATAAGACGGACCATAAATCTGGGCACGAAAGAATAAAAGTTGATTCCTTCATGTGCAGGTATTGTAGGGGTAGCAGATTCTTGTGTGGGAATACGAGAACCACGACCTTTCATCTTCGATTGAGGCGTTCCATCAGTGCTTCTCTCAACCTTTGTTTTAGGAATCTTTGCACCAGATGAGGTTTGGCGACCCTTGGAACCACAAGACGACTTAATTGTCTCATCATCAATATGATACTGCCATCCAGAAGGGTCTCTCTTTGTCGAGTTATTCTTTGGTCGTCCTTTGGTCTTAACAAATGATGGCTCGGACAGATGCGACGTAGACGGATAAACTGTTGGGTTTCGGGCACGCGTACGCAGCGGAAAACAAAATTTTTATGCGATTTAAACGACTTTAAAACACATAAGCACATGCCCGACAATATTAATCAATTAATTGCGTACCTTTGCGCTTCCAGCGAAATTAAAACAACATACATTGCGTACCTTTGCGCTTCCAGCGAAATTAAAACAACAACATGCTTAATTACTTAATCGAAATTAAATCAATTAGCATGCTCGCGTTTAAATCAAATAATCATGCTCGCAATAATAAAACCAATTTCATGTAGTCACATAAAATCATACAAGTTTCTTATTAAAACGAACATGCATATATTAATTTAAACGTAACCGAATCGAATGACAATAGATTCGAAACATTACCTCTTGGAGCGTGAGGTAGTCGCACTAAGCAAAGCTAGATTGCCACGGAAACCAATCCGTGCAATCCAGGGCAGCAACGGCAATGATCCGAGCTACGGCGGCGCATGTGATTCACGCGCAGAGAAGATGGCTAGCTGCTCTTCCCACTCATATTGATCCAACCTGTTTGCTGATCTGAAATTACAGCCTTGCTCCGACTTCCGTATCTCCATGCGTATTTACTGGATGAACAATTCCTTCTGGACGATGGTAGATTTATGAGTCGTGAAGCTGCTGTCAAAATTTCACGTCCATCGGATGACCGGTTGATTTATGGCGAATTTTCTCGGTGGGCAGCGCAGATAATCCGAGAGCAGTTTTTCGGAATTGCCTTCTCGCATCTTCGATTCTTCGATCTTCCTCCTCTTGGATTTCACCTCGTATACTTCGATCTACTAAACACGTGGCACTAGACACGTAATAGTCAGAATAACGGAAGAAAAGAAAGAAGGAAAGGAATACCGAAAGAGATCGGCCAACGGGTGGCCGATTCCGGCGAATTTCCGGCGACGGCGCGGTGGTGGTGGCCGTGGGAGAGGGTGGCTGATCGAGAGAGGCAGCGGCTAGGGTTAGGAACGTGTGTTCTCTTAGTTGTGTGTGTGCAAGACATATAAATCAAGTATTTATATGTCTTGCATAAAACCCTAACGGGCTTAAGTTGGACAGGGCCCAACAACTTAAGTCCGTTAGTTCTTTTACTTGCTCGTCTCTCTCAATTCAATGATCGGAAAATTGTAACGATTACATTTTCGGAATCATTATAATGTCCTCGTCATTACGAGTTCCAACTCTCGATTTCCAACTTTCCAAAAGTGGAAACCCTAATTCAGTGCACTTTCTAAATTTGGAAACTTCCCGATTTAGAAGGTTCACTAATACGTTCGCCTATTCTTTTCCTTTTCTTATTCTCATTCATAATTCCAAATTACGAATGTTGGACCCAATCATATTGACTTCCAATCATGCAAAGATAAACATATTTTACCTTTGACCGTTTATTCAAAGATCTCATGTACACGAGCAGTGTGACCCTCGATGGTTCAGGTGTAAGCTAGCCGTGGGCCCACAACCCTTTGTGGTCAAAACTCGTCCCGTTAGAGTTACGATTAAGATGAAACTCGTTTCACCTTAATCACCCAACGAATCAAGATTGGCGTCTAGCAACTACGCGTCATGATTCCCTAGATACAAATGAAGTGCCTGCAAGAACCTTCAGATATAGTTAACGTACAGTACGGTCCCTTCGATGCACATGTCCCGATCGAACTAGAGGCATTGGTTCATCGAGACCTCTTTATATGTTCAATAACGGTGCGATCGTTCTAAGTGTTGTAATCCTTACGTGCATGACTTAAAGAATCGAATTCTCTAATCATCACTTAGTCAGCTCTGGCCAGAGACTTAGAATGATTACAAACTTTCAGAACACACAGGACATCCAAGACTATTCTAGCGATCGAATCCCCGACTACAATGCACAGACCTCCCACTAGATTTCGGACTGCACGAACACTGGCCCTTGGGATGGTCCTCGGTGGAACTCAGGGACAGGTCACGATACAGCTGGTCCTCTAGTGAAGTCACGGTGATGTCTAGGTCATAAGGACTAATGGTGTACAACTATACCATAGATATCTCTACTCGATTATTGGGAACCACTTAGAGATTTCTAGGGTGAGGGAGTTCAGTGAACTCGTCAACTTACGAGCACCCACTTATGCATGCCGATATCACAATACCGTTTACTGATGAGATGCAGTACACATACACTAAGTGCTAGTCTTAATGGGAAAGGCCGATATCCTCATTAGTGGCGTAACCCTTCGACTAGGAACACGTTTAACAGTTATAATACTTAAGTAAATATCTCACGATCCTAACGATCAATTACTAGTACTTGTAATAACTGTAAGGACTATATCTATGCTTGTGACAAAGGGACAAAGATATAGAATGCCAATGTGTTTTATCATTAATACGAATGAAGGTTCGTTTATTACAATAATAAATACGAAAGACCACAGCCACATGTTGGCTTGTTGGTCACCTACTCTAACAATCTCCCACTTGACCTAAAGCCAACTACCCATAAATCGCAATCCCATCGACTCTCGATGTTTCTCATGGACCGATCTCGGTAAAGGCTTCGTGAAGGGGTCTGCAACGTTCTCTTCCGAGGTGACTCGTTCAACCTTAACTTCACCTCTATCAATGATCTCTCGGATCACGTGATACTTCCTCAGAATATGCTTCGACTTCTGATGAGATCGCGGCTCCTTAGCTTGTGCCACGGCTCCGGTGTTATCACAGTACAACGGTACTGGATCACTAGCATCAGGAATGACACCCAACTCTTGGATGAACTTCCTTATCCAAGTCCCCTCCTTTGCAGCTTCGGACGCTGCAATGTATTCCGCTTCGGTAGTGGAATCGGCCGTCGTGCTTTGCTTGGAACTCTTCCAACACACGGCACCACCATTAAGCGTGAATATAAATCCAGAATTCGACTTTGAGTCGTCCACGTCCGATTGAAAACTAGAGTCAGTGAAACCCTCTAATTTCAACTCGGCACCCCCATAGACCAAAAATATATCCTTAGTTCTTCGCAAGTACTTGAGGATATCTTTCACGGCTTTCCAGTGAGCCGGGCCGGGGTTAGACTGATATCTGCTTGTGACACTCACAGCATACGCAATATCGGGTCTCGTACATAGCATGCCATACATTATGCTTCCTATGGCAGAAGCATAGGGCGTCCTTTTCATCTCCTCGATTTCACTAGGTGTTTGGGGACACATAGATTTCGAGAGACGAACCCCATGGGACATTGGCAAGAATCCCTTCTTGGATTCTTCCATGCTAAACCGTTTCATAACGGTGTCTATGTACAGGCTTTGGGATAAGCCAAGCATCTTTCTTGCTCTATCTCTATAGATGCGTATTCCTAATACATAAGATGCTTCTCCCAAATCCTTCATTGAGAAACGTGTGGACAACCATGCTTTCGTTTGTTGCAACATTCCTACGTCATTCCCAATGAGTAGAATGTCATCAACGTAAAGCACTAAAAATATCACTGCCCTCCCACTAACCTTCTTGTATACACAAGGTTCCTCCGGATTCTTCTTAAAATCAAACTCTTTGATAGTTGAGTCGAATCTTATGTTCCAACTACGGGATGCTTGCTTCAATCCATAAATGGATCGCTGGAGCTTGCAAACCTTTTGCTCACTTCCAGAAGATATGAAGCCTTCCGGCTGCGCCATGTAAATCTCTTCCTCAATGTCTCCATTAAGGAAGGCGGTCTTCACATCCATTTGCCATATCTCGTAGTCGTACCACGCAGCTATGGCTAGCAAAATCCTAATGGACTTCAGCATCGCGACTGGCGAAAAGGTTTCCTCATAGTCAACGCCTTGCCTTTGAGTGTATCCTTTCGCTACCAATCTAGCTTTATAGGTCGATACCTTTCCATCCACTCCAATTTTCTTCTTATAGATCCACTTGCAGCCTATAGGAACGATTCCCTTAGGTGGATCTACCAAGGTCCACACCTTGTTGGAGTACATGGAGTCCATTTCGGATTTCATGGCAGTTAGCCAATGTCCCATGTCCGCATCCGATACGGCCTCATTGTATGTTCTTGGATCTCGTCCAAGATCAATATGATCTTCATCATTTTCGAGGAGGAATAACCTATCCGGCATTTTCCGAACTCTTTCGGATCTACGTACCGTAGGTTCAGGAGGTATATTAGTGGTTTGTTGTTTTGGTTCGATTACTTGTTCTTGCGTTTGAACTTCACTCTGTGGTTCTTGAACTACTTCAAGTTCTATCATGCTGCCCTTTCTATCGGATAGAAACTCCCTTTCCAAAAAAAGGTGGCATTTCTCGAAACAAACGTCTTTGCTTCTTTGACATAGTAGAACTCGTATCCCATCGAGTCTTCGGGATACCCCACAAAATAGCACAAGTTGGATTTACTATCCAACTTATCTCCCACTAATCGCTTCACATAAGCGGGACAACCCCATATCCTAATATGTTTGTAGTTGGGTTTCCGGGAATGCCAAAGTTCATAAGGTGTGGATTTAACTGCTTTGGTGTTAACTCTATTCGGCAAATACGCGGCAGTATGAAGTGCATGACCCCACAAGTATGCCGGTAAGTTTGTGAACCCCATCATTGATCGAACCATATCTAATAAAGTTCGATTCCAACGTTCGGAGACTCCATTAAGTTGAGGAGTTCCCGGTGGAGTCCATTGGGATTGTATCCCATTCTCTTTTAGATAGTCAATGAACTCGATGCTCAAGTATTCTCCACCACGATCGAATCGCAGCTTCTTAATACTTCGTCCGAGTTGCTTTTCCACTTCGTGTCTAAAATTTTTGAACCTTTCAAATGTTTCAGACTTGTACTTCATCAAGTACACATACCCATACCTAGAATAATCGTCGGTAAAGGTAGCGAAGTAGTTATATCCACCCTTCGCACTAACCCTTAGTGGACCACATACGTCTGTACGGATCAAATCCAAAAGACCCTCGGCTCGTTCCATTTTCCCTTTGTAGGGTGACTTG